GCTTTAAAAGGGGGTCATAGTACAAGAAACGTTAAGACTTCAGTACATAGCATGTAAAATTGCCTAGTCTGGTTACCTGGGGTTCCATTTTTCAATAAGGTAGAACAGAAGAAGCATAATCTTCATCTAAAGCACAAATAATGTGTTAGAAGGTCTCATCTTCCAATGGGATACCCCAGTCTATCATAATCAGGATGTGGCACTGAAAAATCTTGCAAGATTGCAGTAGGAGGGACATACGTAACCAAATCGAAAACTGTCACTTGTTTTTAAATCATCTCAATATACTTTCACCTAAAATTAATTATTTGGAATAAATTAAGTACTGGCAAAAACTTTTCTTTCTATATATCCTAATCAGTGATGGTATCTTTTTTAGTAAGTGAAGTTTAAAAAACCAAGGGTTTTGGGAATGTACAAAACACAAAATACATTGCCCTGTGTAATATGATTGGGATAAAGCTAAAATTTATAGTTTTCTGTGGTTGGTGTAAGCATGCTGGGCCACATGGTGCAAGGAAATGAAGTCATGGATCCTGCCAGTTCATTAATTAATAGCCTCATTGGTTGTCTTTTTATTTGCCAGTGCAAGTATGTTCATGACTACTATGATAAGGAAATTTATGATTTACCACATATACATAGGTACATATTATATCAATGTCTAGATCCATAAATAGGTGTGTCTTAAACTATGTAAACCAAGCCTTAGGTGTGACATTTGAAAAATCAGACCTCAACACATTCTACCCAGTGCTTCTACTCAATATCAAGAACTCCCTCTATACCATCCCTGGGTGCTGGGAGTGAAGATTTACAGTTGAATCATATGGCTGAAAGCATGTTTCAGAAAAATAGATGCCTCTCTCATGTGAATAAGGTATTTACTCACACTGTGACTTGAGGGAATTGCTCATTGGGATTTATATAGGTTATTTCTGCCAAAAAAGGAACAAAATGTACTAAGAATAACCTGGTCTTACCTAAAATGTGATTCTGTCCCCGCAAATAGTAAATTCCAAGATTTAATATTGTGTAAAACACGTTCTTCCATGTATCAAACAACTCTTATAATATGGATTTCCCAAAGGGATGAAGCACTATGAAAGAAATGCCCCCCCATTATACATACACACGTACATGCAAAAAAACAGTATCTGTCCTGGAAAGCAGACCCACAGATCCACGGTACACACACAAGAAAATGAATATTTTTGTAGAGCCTCATTATAAATTAGAAACCTTAACCTAGAGCTGCAAAATATCCCTGTAAAATTTGGGCAAATGTTTTTCTGCCTGTGGATGTGTATTTTTAATAGCAACCATGCAGCCTACTTGTCTATTCTGAAAGTTCATTACCATTCTTTTCTCTTCCCTATTTAGAGTATCGTTATTTCTCATACTTGTAATTTTGGTATTTCTTAGCACCTATAAAGGGTAGCAGGTGGTCTCTTTTGGAGCTGAATTCTTCTGTTCACATGCCAAGTAAATTCAAAGATCTGTCTTCTCTCTTCTGCAGCCCCTTTCTAAAGGAACCTGTTCTCGGTGGTGGGAGATTGTTTGATGTCTCTTTCTGTTTGGCCTTGAAATAAGGATCCTACACATGAGAAGTTACCCTGACGGCCAGCTCATGCCACATAGACTATTGACACCTGACAGGGACCTTTATTGACTTCAAAAGTCTACATCTAAAGACCAGTACATGGCTGGTGTTATCAGTTTAAGTTTTCCACACTATCTTATATAGTAAGAGTAGAGTCCAGGTTTTAAGAGCTATCAGCATGCAGCTATTTACAAGAATGTAGTTAGTGTATTCTCTCTCTCTCTCTCTCTCTCTCTCTCTCTCTCTCTCTCTCTCTCTTGCAGCCAGTTGAGATCGTCACTGTAACCTCTCTGACTTTCACATAGCTGAAACAGTAAACTTCTGATTTTTTTGCTTAAATGTTAGGCATATTATTATGATGGGGTGCATAGTTTGAGCAAACATTACAACTTAAGTCTCTAGTTCAAAAATTGCCTCACTATTCCCATTTCTGGTAATATCTGAATTCTCTCTCGTACTGGATTTCACAATGCTTCATGACTTTGCATTATTTTATTCTGTACAAAAGTAATCAAATGTTCACATTTATTAATGCCCCAAGATATTTTAAAAAATAATTATGGCACCACTAGAGCCTAATGCCCTAGGTAAAGTCATAGGCCACAGTAGCAGCAAGGCCACACAGCCAGTCTGTAATCAGTGCTGTGTAAAACAGTGTTAGTCTACATCCAATCAGGCCTTGGGTAGCAGCTGACACCTTCACACACTAAATAAATGATTATCTCCTCACTTGGAGGCAGCCTTGAGCTTGGCAAGCTAAAGGTGGACTGCATACCACATTCCAGTTTAACAAAATGGTCATGCACTGAACACAACTGCATTATTCTATGGACCAACCACTGAAGGAAACTTAAAAATAAATACTGTTAAGTACATTCACCTTTACAGTTAACTGAAGTCAATTTGAGAAACCATATAACTGACTAGAATCAGTATCTACTTTGAGAATGCTTCCCATGAGCTGAGTGGTACAGTAGATGAGGCTTTACAAATCTCTACCAATGCACATATGAATGTATGTATGCTTGTGTGTATAAAACAAGGGGGTGTGCTATGCAGACAGATGGTATAGATGTAGATGGCAGACACAAATGTAGAACAAGGATATAGATGTAATCAGAGAGATAGATTAGATCTATAGCTAGAGATAACAGATACACAGAGATAAAATACAGTTATGATGGGAAGTTCTATGAGTCTCTCTCTTAGAAAATCCAAGGGTAGAATATTACTGAATAAGGGTCAGTTCATGTGTGGATCTATATGTATTTAAATCACAGGGAAGATCAGGGATCATAGGGGCACATAGATATGCACACTTGTACACATATGTTTTCATGACCTTGAAAAACATCTCAATGCATAGTTTTGGTTCATATCGCATGGCATTATTTTTCATATAAAAGCCTTCATTTCATGGAGATTAGAGTGAAAATTTTCCTTTCTTGGGTCTCAAAAATCGGAGAACCAATTAACGACACAAGCATTTGTCATGTTGGTAGCACAATAGAATTTCGGTGTGAGTCACTAGTGTGGAGAGGCATGTGGTAAAGACTTAGCTCTCTGCAATCAATAGCTTTCATATCCCACGTAATATTTCTTTTTGTTTAGAAATATTTCATAGAATATAAAAGCTATTGATTACAAGCAGAAAAATACACTTACCAATTACTGCTTTAAAAAGAAGAATATAAAGAGCTTTGTAGCTGAAGTGGTTACAGGTGGCAGTGCAGAGGAAACCACTGCACAGGCGTTCAAACCGGAGAGCTTCCAGAGTCGTCTTAAACAAATGTCTGCATGTTTACTTTTTCTTTCAGGTTAAAAATCCATGGTAGAGGTTCAGTAAAAAAACTAAATACAGAGACGCAGGCAGCAATGCCTGCAGAGAGCCTGGCAGTCTACAGAGCCAGCTATGTAATCAGTGAAGGTAGTTAGTGGCTTTTTACAGCTTCAGTTGCATGTTTTCAGAGTTTGAATTCTTCAGGCCATGGATCCTGCCCACAGTTCATAAGAATGCCAAGGATGCAGGGAAGCTTCTCTTGTAAACAGTTCCTAAATACTGCAGTTGATCACGGCCACCTTTCAGTTTTATACTCAAAGGAGAGCACACCTCCAGTCACCCACCGTCTTTGCACTCTGCAATCAACCCACAGTGAGGAACCTCGCCCCTTCCTGCCCTTCTCTTTGGGAGAGAAGAAAGACCCCTTTGCAGCCAACATGCCCACCTCAATGATTGCCTTTCCAAGCCTCAAACAATCAATTTCTCTCTGTTGGTAATCCTTTTAAATGCTGTATACTTTTGGCAATGCCATTAACAACTCCCCAGAGATCAAGCCATGCAGAAGAGAAGGGCAAGGCCGCCCTGAGAAAAATGAGAATAAATAGTCTGAAGTCACTACTCGCCCACCTGGGGCTAACCCATGACTAATTTCTAACTAACAAACAGCCTTTTCACACTCCACTGTTTGTCACATGGCATTTCAGCCCAGAGCATTCTCTCACTACTCATTTTCTCTCTGGCACAAACTAATTGCTGCATGCAGAAGCCAGGCTCTGGAGACTCAAAGGGCATGAAACTATGGCAGCCTAACAGACAAGAGTAAATAAATATTTTTTAAAAGCTCATACGAAATCCCCCAGGATTGCCCAGAGACACATTCAAGACAGTAGCATGTTACTCCACCACACACTTTTCCTTCCTACCTCATGGTAACTAAGCATTTATACATGTGGATGTCCTTATTTGCCATCTGGCTTTCTGACAGGCTTGGGTTTTAAATCAAACTCAGAGCAGGAGTAGTTATAAATATCAGCAGTCTGACAAAGCACCCCAGTGTTTGCAAGTTTCAATTACTCCAGACAATATATTGCATAGTAAAACTAGGACTTGACACTCCTCCTCTGATTATAACAAGGTATATCTCCTTCCTCAAAATGCTTTCTGTCTGCTCTTAAGAAACTTTTGCATTCTAAGACCAGAGGAATATAGTAGGAACTGTTGTTCAACTTGGGCCCATTCTGCAAAAATACTCCAGTATATTAAAAGTTTCCAACTGATTTATAAAGAAACAGAAAGGACAGAGGTGTGCTATTGCATTTAAACTAAAGAGATAGTCTAGGAACTGGAAATAGATTTATCCTGGCAAGGAAAAAAACTAACATACTACAGAAGCTAAGCAATATTCATTTTTATGGCATAGTATACAAAATATATTAACCATTTTGTTTGAAATAGAGATTGACCAAAGGAAATATCATCCTCATGGCTTTTCTCTACACAGGTAATAATTTTATAGTGAAAAAAACAAGTCTATAAACCAGTAGATATCTCAAACTATCTATCTGAAAACTAAGAAATAGCCATATAAAATGTTATTGGGAACTTACTGGAAATGCATACAAATAAGTAGGACTAGCTTTGTAATTCATTCTCTCTCTCTCTCTCTCCCTCCCTCCCTCCCTCCTTCCCTCCTTCCCTCCCCCCTTCTCTCCATTGCAATTTCATTGAGAAACAATGGCAAAAATGTACTGAGCCAATCTTAAGCATGTTTCTAGTGAGTGTCCTGAAGCAGGCATCTTCTGAAATCTCCAAAGAGATTAGGATTTTCAAATAGTCTTACCAGCTTTTAAGACTGCAGACATTCAACACACAGACTGGCTTTGGGGCACTGTTGTGAATTTAACTGATTTGAAGGAGGCTCATCAACTGCAGACTGAAAGCTGCTGTTTCCAGAGCAGTGATTGAATTTCCAGCAATGATTTCTACCCGTTACCTACCATGCGCTGCTTATTAAATACGAAACCCATTGCCCTGAAGAATCTGCTCACAATCTCTGCAACAGTGGCATCTGCAGAGGGGTGCTCCAGCCACTTGAAACTCATTAAAACATACTTGAGATTGACAGTGAGTAGAGAACATCTGTCAGACTTGGCCAAGATTTCAATCAAGTGTGATGTTGCTGTGTTACATTGACTTAATAAATGAGCTGGCTGCTGTCAGTGTAAGGAAAGTTTGGTTGTAATTACTATCCTGTTCTTTTCCCTTTTTTTCTGCAGAGTTCTTTCACATAAATAGCCATATTCTACGTGAAATGTATAAGAAGCCTACAGTTTATACCGATAACCCCATACTTGAGTGGTTAATTAAGATTGCTGTGGGTTCCAGGCCAACTTGAACTACAAAATGAGTTCCAGGACAGCCTGGGCTGCCACATGAGACTGTGTCCCATATACACAATCAAAATTAATGAGCATAAAGTTCATTTTTTAGATGGCTAAATTTTTACCAAGTGTGTGTTTCTTTAAGAAGTTACATGGATATATCCTGGAGCAGCAGGAAAAGTCTTACTGATCTGTACTCTCTGGAGTATCTTGAAGTATACATCCAGAAGAAAGGAATTTCCACCTCAGTCTATTGAATAAATGCCAATAAAAGCAAGTCCGAATGAAATGCAAAACTGTTTCCCAATATCTAGATGCCGTTGATCATCGTTCAGTGATGCTTGCTCATAACTCATGCCACAGCAATCTATTCTGCCAGGGACTGAAGAGACTCAAAGGACACTAGCCTGTCCTAATGATATGATTTCAGAGCCAGTGAGTGGAAAACCAGACACAGAGTTCAGATCATTTCCACCAGATTGTGTTTGCTCCATCGGCCTTTTAGAAATGTTTGTTTGAGGAATCAGCTTAAATACAAGACATTGGCTCTGACCACCAATATTTCATGAGGATGAAAAAGAGCTACTGTTGTTCAAAGTTGGGAGAAGGAAAACTCCAGTCTCATATACAAGGTAAGCTCAGCAAGATACAGAGAGGGAAAAATAAGTGGGGGATGGCACAGATCAGTGAACACAAAGCTGAACATAAAATAGAACAAATTATAATGTCTTCGACAGCTACACTGAAATGGGCAATTACTAGGCCTGGTGAATTTGAGCTCACTGACTTGTGTAGTTGAACCTAAAGATTCCTAAAATAGCAGAGGCTAACCCCTACCTGTAGCCTGAGCTTTCCTGTGCTTCCCGCCAATCCCACAGCTGCTTACAAAATAATCAGTCAGAGGCTTCATATTAATGATGGCTCAGGCTTATTAACAGATAGCTCTTACATATAAATTAACCTCAATACTATTAATCTAGGTATTTCCAGGTGGTCATTTTCTACATGTCTTGCTTCCTCTGTGGTTGCTGGCATCTTCCCTCTATTCTGCCCTCTTTCTCATTGTGTCTCTTCTTGGACTTCCTAGCTATATTCTGCTCTACCATTGGCCAAAGCAGCTTTATTCACCAACCAATAAAAGCAACACATATTTGCAACATACAGAAGGACATCCCACATCAATTACCAACTGCTTATGGGGCTTATCATTAGGGTAAAGTCCTTCTGGTTTGGTGAATCTGTTGGTGGGAGGCAGCATTAAGGTTGGTTTTGAGGTGCATTTTCAACCAATAAGATTAATCTTCCATGAGTAGAACTTTAGCAGCTGTTTCCAGAACAAATTTCTAGTGCTTGAATGCTAATACTTAACTACATTCACCTTAATGTTTCCTTTCTGCTCATACCTAACAACTGAAACTACTTTAGCATACTTGTAAGCCACTGGTCCCAAGTCTGGTTAATGGTAAACCTCTGTGTCTCTTTCTTCTGTTCATTTACTACTTAAACACTCTAAAACTTACAGCTTTTCATTATGATCTAGTAGTCAACCGACACAATGATTAGACCAAGTTTGCCTGGTAAATAGGATTTTTTTTGAAGGCTGTCCTTCCAGAAGGTCAATATAGTCACAAAAATCAGTATCACAATGGTAGAGATGAGCTTCAGAGCCAAGATTGCAATAGTGTCGGTAAAACTGGGTCAGCCACACATCAGTATGTGAATTTCCTCTGATTCCTGTAGCAGTTTTATTTTTTGGTTCTCATATAGCATGTTCTACCTTGCATCAGAGTTATCTATATGTAGCTCTTATCTATTCTCATACTAAACTTCTTCAACACACTGTGCTGCACATAGTAGGCACTCATTAAATATTAGTTGAGAGAGCTATAAAAATGACTGGGTAAGGAAAATCATGTTTGAAAACTGGCTTTCTATATTCGTGGTAACTTAATAGAACTTCCTTAGAAAGTTTGCCCCCAATTTCCTTCATATTGGCTTATCAGTGAATGCCACCATCATGAAAATCTATACCCCACACACATTCATATCCAAGGGCATAGTTTGCGTTTTTTACCACCCAGGTTTTCATTCACTCTGTCTACATGAAAGTTATTCATTCTGGTTGCCTGTCTTCTTCTCCAGTAACTCCTAATACCAGTTCCTACTGCAACACTAAAGTTAATTCAGCCTTCCTTTGGAAAGCTTTCTCTAAGTCCCTAAAATCACCCCGCTGTGATAGAAATATGTGCATAGGCTGGCATCAGAGACACAGGGCTATGTGTATAAGCCTTCACACAGAGACATGAAGTTATGTCCATGAACCTTCATACAGAGTCATGGATATATATATATGAGTCTGCACAGAGAGACATGGAGCTGTACTCATGAGCCTGCCCACAGAGACATAGAGCTACATACATGAGCCTATCTACAGAACACAAAGCATGAATGAAAAATGATAGCTTGTTTGTTAAAGTCAGTATTCAGAAGGCAGCTGTAGGTAGCTTATCAGATACAGAAGATAAGGTTAGCAGGGGAGCTAGATAGCTGGATTTGAAGTTATAAATAGCCTAGACACTAAGAAAATGGGTTTGGACTTGATTCTATAGTTTAGAAGGCTTCACTGCCAGTATCCAATCAGGGAGACACATAACCCAATCTGACTTAGAAAAGCAACTCCAGTGACAAGATAATGAATGAGAAAGAGACAAGAAAGACTAGAGGCAAGAAGAGCAGTTGGGATGCCATGCCTGTGATCTGAGTAACCAGTTTTAATAATGTAAGAACTGCATATCTGTAAAGTTCAATCTAAATGTTCATTTAAAGCTATTATCTCAATGTGATTGAATTCAATAACCTTTAAGGCAGCAGATATTAGAGCAGATTTTTTTGTTACTTAGCACCAAGCAATTCAGGTGAAATTAACGTATAATTTCAGCATAACGACCAAATCCACTAATGAGCTGATTGCAGGTTTTGTGTTTCTTGCCTTTAGAATGTGGAGTACAGTTACAAGTGATGAAAAAACTAAAGCCTTGCTGGACCTGCTGGGAGGCAGTGGTATTGTAATTCACCAAATGAAAGCATTGGGGGCTTTAGTGGATTTTAAAAAAAACTAAATATGTAAAAGCCATACTTACAGTCAAAATTGGAATCTAATTAAATTCTATACATGGTAGTTTAATGTTGTCATTGAGTTGAAGTTCATGATCAAAGATAAAATATGTTACAATGAAAAGAAACATGTGGTACAATATTTCTTTTCAAATTTGTTATAGTATTTATAATTCATATTTAACTAAATTAAATGTGTGTTCACATCTCAAAAGAAATATTATATGATTGAATCTGGAAAGTTTTGTAGAGATAGTTTTTTTAATTATTATTATTCCCACTCACTGTCATTGTAAGAGCATGGTCAGCATGTTACAAAGAACATAGGGCCTTGCAACTCAAGCAAGGAAAAAGCCCCAGAATGGCAGTCTAGTGAAAGAAGCGCCAAGAACCACCACAAGTGGAACCATTGTTTTCTACTCAGCAAGGTTGTGATTCTCACAGCATCCAGCCTCTGTCTCTAACTACCTATCCACCATCCATCTATCCGTCTGTCTGCCTACCTTTGTCTTCACAGAGTAGATGCTAATAGGCATGCAGTCAACTCTTTTAACAAACAAGAAAAGGGAAGGCACGGTATGCATGCAATAGGAGAGGCCAGGTACCAGTATTATCAGTTCATTTTTAATATAAATTTTTCTGACAGTGTTTAAATAAATGTCACTGAGTTTCTCTCATTGGAGATCTATTTAAGTACAAGAGTCAATGATCTTTTACTTTTTTTGTTTGTTTTTTGAGACAGGGTTTCTCTGTATTGTTTTGGAGCCTGTCCTGGAACTTGCTCTGTAGACCGCACTGGCATCGAACTCACAGAGGTCCACCTGCCTCTACTTCCCAAGTGCTGGGATTAAAGGTGTGCACCACCAATGCCTGGCAATCTTGTCCTTTTTAATCTTCATTATTTGGAACACTTTCCATAGTTACTAACTTTCAGATCTGGAAGGAATAGATCCAGGCAAGGATCCCCTAAACCACAAACAAATCCCCCAACTATAGTACTATATGGAAAAATATTTAAGCCAGGAATTATTTTTTCCTGAATGAAAGAGATTGTGTCCCTGACTCTGAAACTTTGTTGTTAACATTACTTGGCATTGCTAAGTACACAGGTAATAAATGACTAAAGGATTCTCCTTGATATTTCCTGAATGGATTAAGCCATGAGTCAGTTTCCCTTAATGTTCTTACTCATTATGGGCTTTAAGAAACGTACTACAGTAAAATCAATTGTTCAAATTCCTTCATAGACATCAAGTTTATCACTACCACCAAGAACAAGAGATAACATTTCAGAGGCAATGTCAACTGCAAATATAGTAATTTTGTGAAATAGAGTTGCAACCAATATAGTGATCCACTAGTAAATGTAAAATTGGCTAATATTTTTGCCTGATTTCTGTGAGATGACAACACTCTTGAGAGTAGGGAATGTAGCAGTAGAAGTACCACAGAGTTGATGATTTCAGCTGGCAATACAGACATGACAATGCAAAAGCTCAATGGGCATGACATCTAAAACAGTCAGCAATGCCTCCTTTGGGAGTATCAGCATACTGGAATGGTTAAATATTTGAAAGAAGAGTATTGGTATTCCAAGCAAGAAGACAAGTAGAAGGATTCTAAGACAGACTAACAGCTAATGCACTCCATGGACTGGACTAAGAGAAACATTGGAAAGTACTCAACGATGAAATAAATGAGGGACATGTGGGGATGGATAGTGTAGACACATACATAACATACATACATACATGCATACATGAATAGTTACATAGATAGATATCTTTATAGACTATGGTAAAGACTGCATTTCATTATGTATATCACAGAAAACATAAGACGGATTTGAACAAGGAACTGCCATGATATACTCTTTGAATTGATCCATAACTTACTCACCCCCACTCCACATATGCCTAGGGTCATCCGTGAAGGAATACAATGAGTTTGAATCATGAGCAACCACTACGTCAGAAGACAGGAATAGTAAAATAGTGAATAAAAATGATAAGTGACCATAAAGGGAGGAGGAAATTCTTAAGTGCTGTATTTTCCAACCCACTCTGAAAAGTCATGTGGTAAGCATTCAGACCTGGTAATGAAGGACTCAGACTTTCTGGACGTGGGGTCATTCTGAAATTCCCACAAAGACCTGCTTCTTCAGCCCAAGCCAGTTAATTAATGGATCAACATGTGAGTTCCCTGGTTGTTCTTGGCCAGTCACCTACTAACTCAAATAACACAGCCATTCTTCTACACCCACAGGTACAAGATGGAGCTTTTGCTCAAATATGGAAAGCATATACCCTAAGAAATACGCATGAAAATACTTTCTAAGCTCAGAGAGGATCATATGTAGAAACCGATTGTGTTTTTCAGCCACAGTTTATGGAATGCATGTTTTTGTCTGCTCCAGCTAATGAAATCAGACTCTTGGAAGATGATTATCTACAAACAGACTCTCATTTTGGGTTTACATAGAGCAAACCCATTTATTATAAGTTGAAGTGACCAGGAGGAAGGATCAAAAGGAAGAGGCTTCTTTTTGCTCAAAATAAAGCAGACCATCAGGAAATAATGCAGATGATATAAACCAAACTGACTAGATAATGGTTATAGAGGAAAGGAATAATTCAATACAAGGAGTAAAATGCATGGGGAATTTAGACAAGAGAATAGCCTGGTTACCTCAATGAGTGCAGTTTAGACAAGGCTTAGAAATGATTTTGTCAGCAAAATGATTTTTCCTCTTTCCAAAGAAGCAATGCATAAGAGGACAGAGGACTCTCGCTGAGGTAAATTGTCACCTAGTTCCAGGATACAGGCTGGGAGAATGTAATGAAAATCAAATGTATTTAGAGGCAAAAAAATAGACTGTATTATTTTCAAAAGTGGGCCAGGAGTGTATAACACAAATTCACTGGAAAATTCGGAAATGCTCTAAGAACTCTCCCAAGCACCCAGTGGGCTCACTCTAAGAGAATCCAATTCCTCTGGGACAAAACGCACCCTGGGCAGTGCAGTCACTGAATTTACTCTAGGCAACTGGGAGGTAAATTTTCAGCATTGTGGATGCTTCCCCAGTTGAAGAACCACTGGGACTCCATGGTGCATCTAAAGAGAATTTCGAAGACCTCCTGGTCTTCCACTACTTGTATAACTAGGACAAGTACACTGCAGGGGTCTGCTGGGTCATTCTTACTCCCCCTGTAGTTGAGGCTGCATCTACGTCTTTACCAGGCTTTTAAGACCCAGTCAAGAGTCTTGCTTTCTGCTTCAGATTTTGCTGGGCACCATGCATGTGCCAGTTATTTGGGAACAGAAAGGAGGGAGAAAGATTTGATACTCCAAAACAGGGTACTCTATTTTAAGAAATGAAAGAAATCAGAGCTTGAATACTTAGACTTTATAACAAAAGTCATACACATTCAAAATAATTAAGTAACCAGCACCTAAATAAAAATCATACATTGGTAGATAAATCTTTCTCCCTAGGCTATGATTATCAAGGAAGTCAGCGAACCCTGTCATTAATCTTGGCTCATACTCTGCAGCATCCCAAGACTTTGCCAGCTCCCTTCTCTGAACATGTCTCATTGCTAATGCTCTGGCTTCCAGTACCACTGATATTCAAATCTCCCCTTTTCAGATGGAATCTAAAGATATTTTTCCCAGCATCTTGATTTGTCACTTTCAGGAAGTCACCATCTTCCTGTACGAGTTCCCACCATATGTAAAACGAAAGTCATAAATTTGGGTGAAGTCAAAGTGCTCTGACAAGGACCGATGACAAAATCCCCAGCAGAGCCTGCTCCCCATAAGTGATTATGTAAATCCTTAGAAATAGAAGTTTAAATAAACAAATATGTAGAGTAGAGATTTAGATTTATTGACTTTCCTTTCATTATTTATTTATGGAGCATACAAAATTAGATAAGTTTGATGAATTTAGTGTTCATGCTCCCTAAACATATGCTATAATATTGAGTGATTTGGTGGTTAAATACTATGTATGGACTTTTAAATGTATTTTTAAGGTACCAGTGTTGGATCAGGATCCGTTTTTTTCCCACAGCTACAAGACTTAGCTGCACTAGAAGTTAAATATTTGTTTCAAAATTACCTGACCTGCCTGGTATATAAAAGTCATGATTTTGAAAACCTTATGCTAACAGTGCATATGGAGTGAGCACAGATATAATTATAAGTGTAATTTTAATTCTATTCTCCTCACTGTGATACAGTGGCAGTGAATAATCCACTCCAAAATCAAAGATCAGCTCAAATCCCTTTTACCAACTCAGGTCCCATTTTCTGAGTATTTATTTAATGTCATTGTTCAGTGAGGGACCTGGAGACCTTTTGCTGTAGGTGGGAAGAAAATGCAAATCTGTTAGTTATTTGCTAAGGTTCCTAAGGACACCAAAAACACACGGGCACTCGCAACTGTGAATTTCCCAGTAAATATAAAATCTTTGTCTTCGGGAGTATTTGCTTAACTGAACAAAGTTTGCAAAGCCTGGAGAGGATTAACATCAACAATAACACAAAATTAAACCTTTGACATTCCTCTAGTTCATTTCTGTGTTTATCTCCCCTTTCCTCTATCAATTTCCCCAACTCTATCATTTAAGAAAGAAAGTAAAAGACAAAGAAAGAAGGTCTTAGAGAAATCATTTAGGCATTTGTGGTTGTGTATTTTTTTTCCTTTACTGCATTCACTTAGTCAGGAATATGTTGTATTAAGAAGAGGCTAGGTACCACGTCACACACTGAAACACAATGATAAAAGACAAAAACATCAGAGCCTTTGATATTTGTATACTGTGAGCAAGAGTTCTAAACTGTAAGAGCAATATGGTAGATGTTACATGGGTACCATGGGACATAATAAAAGACCTGTGCACTCTGTGTGGGAAGTTCAAGATGAATTCATGAAGGAGGTATGACCTGAGCTCCTGTTAAAGCATCAGTGGACATTTGGGGATCTGCAGTGAGAAACCCAGTACAGTGCAGAACAATTTGTGGAAAAGGTGGAGTCTCCATTTGCAGACCCTGATGTGTCTGGAAGTAATGGAAGAAGGAGGAGTCAGGAGAAGCAACCCCGAAGATGCTCTGTGGTGTCACAGTTGTCATGCGGAGACTTACCCACTAGCATGAATATAAAATAATATGTTTAAGCATTTCCCTAGCAGCCGGGCATTTAGTGTATTTTCAGTTTTTCTCAAATATTAATCTAGTATGAACCCCTTCCAGCCAGCATTTTACAGGACATCCCTAGTGAGATTCCAAGATTAGAGTACTAAAAATTAAATTACTGAAGTAAATGGCATAGTTATTTTAAGTATCTTGCTACACTTGCCATATTTATTTCTAGAAAGATGTCAATTTGCCAACAGAATGCAAGAGAACCAGCCTCATCATTTCCATTGCCAAATCTAAGTATAATCATTAGAAGTATTTGCTAATTGTGTGAGTGGAAAATGAAATTAGATCTTACAGCATCATGGATATCAAGGCCAAGAGTTTGAATTTAATTCTGAAGTTAATTAGAAACCCACAAAAGATTTTTGATCAACAGAGCAAATATCTAGATCAGCCCTTTGAAAGAATTAATGTTGGTGGCAAGGAGTGGGCTGTGATGACTTTGGCAGTGCTGGGAACTCACAGTGCTTGAAGGCAGAGAGGTTGTTTCATTCCCCTGGGTCATCATTGTTCAACAGAGCTCTCCACCATAATAGTGACATTCTGTATCTGCTCTGCATGATGTCGCCATAAACTCTCACTTTCAAGGACTAGAACTATAGTATCTAGCAACTAAAATTGAGGTTTAAATTTAAATAGCCACATGTGGCCATGTAGCATCCAAGAGCACAGAGCTAGAGCCAGATCAGGAAGTACTCAACATGGAAGACATTTGCAAAGCTAGAGAGAAGAGAGCATAGGCAGACTGAGAGAAGAGATTTTGTGGCGATCTGAATGTGCATGTGAAGGAGAGCCTTTGTGGAAATTGAGACCCAAGGGTGATAATTTCAAAGTCTGCAGGAAAAAAGGAGACAATGAAAAAGGGACAGCTCTCTCTCACCCTGTCTCTCTCATTCTCCCTCTCCTTCTTCCCCTCTCTCACTCCCTCTTTCCCTCACCCTTTCTCTACTCTCCCTTCCTTCCTTCCTTCCTTCTCTGCTCTCCATTGATACTAGCATCCTAATGGGCATTGGAAAATGACAAAAATATTTAAACTGATGAAAGTGCCATGGGTTGTGCTGTTCCCAAACATATTGATCTCTATACAAATGTTATGAGCTGTTAGGCTTAAACCTGTGTGTATCAGATCTGTGGGCACAAGCCTGCTGCCATCAGAAACTGATGGAAAGAAAACCTGTGTCCACACAATAGAAAACTAGGTGAATTCCAGAAGAAGGACAAGTTGTCTCCATAAAAGAAAGACAATGTGTGTTCATCAGAGGACGTGGGTCAAGCAGCATGGCTATGTGGTAAAACTGTACGTGTAATGGAAAGTAACAAAATTTAATGAAGGTTGAAGACTCAGCCAAGCAAGAAAATATTGTCTAAATAATGTTAAACAATGCTATTAATTAAATCCACATGGATGGGACATTTATGGGGATCCAAGAAAGGGATTCATTCAAGCCTTTACATGATTTACATCATCCCAACCTTAAGATCTCAGTCAAAATCCAACAACCTAGAGATGTCTGGTTCCATATACTCTTTTCTGTAATTGTCTATAATATAATTCTTGCCAAGTTGTTTGTTAATGTGTCTGTCTCCATGCATTCTGAAATCTACAAGTCTTTTGAGTCACTTTTTGTTTATTCTGTGTCTAGGGTAGTCTGTGCTCTAAGAGGTACTCGGTAATTTTGGATGAATATATGGATACACAGCATCTGTTACTCATTTGCCTGAAGGTCCAGAGAACTGGGGAAATATTTTATCAAGATCAAAGTTAACCTGAAGATGACAGCTAAGTAAATTCTCAAGTCAACTGAACAAGAATAGGCTTTGCAGGTCCAATGTGGACAACTGACAGTCTTACTGTCTGAAACTTTACTCACTCAAAAGGAATTCCTTCCATTTCCAGAAAGAAATACCCTGTTAATTAGAGTAAGTGTTTGAAGAATGATAAGATCTAGGATATTTCTCAAAAGAACTTCATTTCAAGGTAACAAAGAACTGGAAATTGCTAATTACCATCTTCAAAGAACACTGACTGTGGGCATAGGATGTGGACACAAATACAGTATCTCTGATCATGTGATGACTTCATGGCTTATTATTCACTCCACTACCTAAGGCAAATCTTCTCCCTAGTTTACCAAGATCAAGAACAATCACATGTTGATAGTTCAATGATAATTAGAGAGAAGGTGTGTGTTCATGTATGACTGAATGGACACTCCTAATCTTCTAGAAATAGGAATTCCAAAACCATTGTCTTCTCCTTAAGCCTTTGAAAGTCTCACATTTGGAGCAGTGGTTTTATTTTCCTTTTTATAGTAACAAAGTGAGACAAGGAAATCACAAAGCACATGAACAATGACAATGTGTCCTTCGGGCCCGAATACACAGTTACTATAAGTTAGACTGATGTTCAGTTGGGGCATTATGTTCTCTCAGAAACAGAGGTCTACAGAACGTCAGAAAGGATCACTGAGATCATGACAACTGAATAAATACAAGTTTACTGAGCAACTCAAGGTACAGTGTATCTTCATTCATTGAGTCATTTCCAACTCAGGTCACTTCCTCTCCTGTTAAATATCTCACAGATGTAATTAGGCAAAATACATTTAAACATGTTGCGTGTAAGAGTTTAAAGCAAACTTACAAGAATTACAGACATTTTTGATACCTACTTTAGCAGAAAACAAAGTTTGAGTATAGATCAAGGGTCCATAAGGTATAACCTGCAGATCAAATCCAGTCCGTCTATTTTTGTCAATATAGTTTAAAGGCAACATAGCTATGTCCATTCCCTTATGTGGTGGCTTTGAAGTGACAATGTCAGAACTGAATGTTTGTGACAGGCCATCTGCACTGCAAATCATGAAATATTTACTACCTAGTCCTTCGTATAAAATGTGTTGCAATTCAAATCTAGGTTAACAAGTAGAAAAATTAACCCAACAGAGACATGTTTAAATTTTTTAGCTATGAAATCATGCATGACTATGTTTCTCCATCATATTGTGCTTTATAATCTCCCTCAGCTCCTAGCTTCATCCCGATAACACGGACCAGGTTGCACACAGATTGTGATTTCCTCAACTAACTCTGCCCGACCAAGTTGATGACAGAGCCATGCTCACAACCAAGCTATTCTAGTTGAAGTAAGAAAAGTTACCAGAGAATAAGAAGAGTGAAGTGAACAGAAATCATGCCAACTGCTTTGTTTTCTTTTTTAAAGATGCATTTATTTATTTATTTATTATGTATACGGTGTTTTGCCTGCATGTATTCCTGCAGGTCAGAAGAGAGCACCAGGTCTCATTACAGATGGTTGTGAGCCACCATATGGTTGCTGGGAATCAAACTCAGGTCCTCTGGAAGAGCAGCAAGTGCTCTTAACCTCTGATCCACATCTCCAGCCCATGCTTTGTTTTCTTAATGAACATCTCATCCAGATTGCTACTTCTCTTTCTATTTATTAAACAGGTTTTGTTTTAAAACTCTTCTGTAACCCTCCAGACCGAATTCTTACCCTAGCCTTGCTGAGCTGAATATCCTGTGAGAAAGAGATGAATGTCAAACACAGACTGTGATGTCAAATGTTTGGCATTCATCTCTTTCTCATGGGACATGATTTTGAACAGAGGTAGCTATGTTCACCAAAATGTCTTAAAGATGCCTATTCTCTAATGAAAACAGGAAAGGCAGCAGCTTTGAAAGGTTCATCTCCCACAGGGCAAGGTCCCATTGAAGGAGCAGGAGAGGAAGTGTGTGCTCCTTGTTTTGAATCTTCTCTAATGGCAGCCTGGCGACCGTAAATCCCCCAGAGAATTTTAGGATGTCTGTGAATTCGAACCTGTGAAACTCACCATTCTCTACTCAAGAAAAGTTAAGGGGAGGCTTCCTTCTTCATCCCTGTGAGAAGTAAAGTAGTCACTGTACATAACAGAAAGGAAATGAAGGTGCTACTGAGGCCACTGTGCACCCTTGGTGATAAAAGGGTAAAACACAAATCTACCCTTCCCCTACCAAGTCCCTTCCCCTTGTATGACGCAGGTAATACTATTTCAGATGACAAAGCAAGCAGCCCAAGGAGAAGGGGTGAGAAGTAGCATGCTATAGGCTCAGAAAAATAAAAGATAAATATCAAGATGTCTCCAAGATCCTACTAGTGTTCCAGAGGAAGGTAAGTGGCCTGAAATCTGCCATTTGTGCCCCAACCTTCTCTAGGGTCTGCTCTGTCCAAGGAGAAGGAGAATACAGACATTGAAAAGAGGCTGTGGAGAACAATGTACGTGACATAAGCAAGTTAAAAGAAAAGCAAACCCTTCAAATGCCTAAACAAGAGGATAAAGACACCTGTATGATCCATGAGAAAAGATATCCAACAAGATGAATGTAAATAAGTGTTCCCTTAGATCTATGTCATCTCTGTCTAGCTAAAAAAATTAGCTTGACATCACACCTCTCCAAGGAAAGCCAACAAAATAGGAACACCTCCTTTCAGGTGGCAACCATTGCAATCTAGCTCTTCACTCAAGCTTAGAGGTGTAAGATATAGCATACTATCCCTAACCATGTAACTGTATCTGTGGCTTTCCTTTTTAACGTCTCAAACTTGTACAATGTGTACCTCTACACAACTTTCTTTGAATGGCTCTAATATGAATTGTCATCTTAGACCCAGACTCATAGACAAAAACTGGTATTCTAAATAATAAAGAGTATACAATTATCTGGAATCTGTATTTTAGCACAAATTTCTTAAGAAGCAGAAAGTGGTGCCAATATGTTCCCACAGAAGGGAAGAGAAGAAATTACTAAAAGTTCTAAGTAAATACTAATTACACTTACATTAAGTTTTCATTGGAGAGGTGGTTATGTAGTTAAGGGTGGTGATACTCTATCACAAAGACCACCGTTCAGATCCAAGCATCTATGTTGAGTAGTTTACAAACACTGGTAACACCAGCTCCAAGGTATCTGATGCACAGAGAGAGAAAGAGAAACACATACCACCTCTCCCTCTCTTTGTCTCTCCCTCCCTCCCCCCTCTCTCTCTCTCTGTCTCTGTCTCTCTCTGTCTCTCTGTCTCTCTCTCTCTCTCTCTCTCTCTCTCTCTCCTTTTCTGACCACTAAATTACCATACCAGAAGTGACTAATATGTTATATAAAATGTTAATTCTCTACAGACCTAAGGAAACTGCACATAATCATGGTTGAGAACATATAGGAAAATGTCAGAATTAAACATGAGATGAATACACCTTCCCATCTTGAAAGAAGTAACACAAGTATCATTATTTAGATTTCTTTTTCTGACTAATGACATATCTGGGTGTTAGTAATCCCTGTGATCACCGAGAAATTCGCCAACTGTCCTGGTTCAGAACCTGAGAGGAGTCATAGAAGGAAAGCACAGCCTGCCTTTCTGGAGAGCCACATAACTGGAGGTCACTGAAATAGGAACAAAAATGCCAGCTGTAACCAAAGTCAGAGTACTGTGAGAGCTCTGAGTAGTGAGATTTTTTGGTACAAGTTGTCTAAACCAACCTGTACACAGACATCTCCATAACAACTCTAAGAAAACCCTCACAGATGTTCAGCAGGTGAGGACACCTGCCATCAAACCTGACTATCTAAACTGATCTCTGGGAGACACACAGTGGGGAAGAAAACCAACTTCTGTAAGTTGTTCTCTGACCTCCACAAGTACACCAGAGCATGCATGTGTGTATGTGCCTCTATATGCACACGAATGTGTCCAGGTGTGTACATATGCACATGTAATTGCAAAACAAATAAATAAAAATATAATTTGAAATATTTTAAGTAAAAATATAAAACACAGACCTCTAACAACAAGAAGTCCATCAATAATGACAAATTCAGTCTGCTATCACTAATTACCAGACTAAGCAACTAATTACCAGACTAAGCAACTTTATCCTTTGAAGCCATTTAAACCACAGATAGTTTAGTTTGCATCTAATACCTTTCTACTTATTTTCCATGATAGCCTTAACAATCCTTCCTCCAACACACACACACACACACACACACACACACACACACACACACACACACACACCACATATTTTCTCTGAGAAAGTTTTATTTTCCTTCAAATATTTTCACGTGTCCTTTCTTCTCTGATATCCTCCCTCATCCTAGACTTGGTTCCTTCGACATGTTCAGGTTTATCACGGCCTCTGCTAATGTAACTAATCCCACCATTATTTTTTATTCATGCAGTGTAGCTATTCTGGGAATGTGTTGAAATGAAAGTGGCCTGAATTCTATTATGTTTCATATTATCTTCTGGCCCAGGTTCGATCTATCTATTAAATGTCACTCTGTGAATACAGCTGCTCAATTAGAGTGAATAGGAAACATAAAAATGAGAAGTCTGTTTTAATTGTCCCATTTACACACCTAGAAATGTTTAAACCATGAGAAATACATGCAGAAGAGGAGGTAACACTGCCAGGATGTGGAAAGTTCCCGTGTCCAAGCAGGGATGTCTGTTTATCCAGGTAAGAGGAGACAGGGTCTGTCAAGAGGAATAGGTGCCCAGAGACACCCACCTCCACATACATTACTTTATTCTACTTGTCACTCAGAGACACGTATGCCTCCCCTGCTACCCATAAAAGAAACATCTGGGTTTACTAAGATAGCTACATATTATTTTCTTTTAAAACATTTCAACTTTTTTTTACATTTTCATCTGTTTCCTAAGAGACCTGGGTTTTCACAGACATAAGCGTTATAGAAATACCACATAGAAAAGTGTCAAAGACTATGTGTCAGGTGGTTCACATGGCGAAGGTTCTGAATGCTTACACAGAAGTCGAGAGTCTTTAGAAAAGCAGGAGAAAAATCCCAGAGAGCTCGCTCAAAAGCTCCTTGAAAGGTCTGCCACTCTGCTGTGATAAAAGCTAGCGGAGGACGATGGAGAACTAGTACCAGCTAGGATTCCGGGAGCTTCTTGAGAATGAAGGAGCCAGATTGAATACAACTTCTGAATCTCAAGAAGAAAAAACCCATGCAAGAAATAAGAACAATTTTGTAAGGTGAGGCCTCATGTATAAGTCTCATTTTTATTAGATTTGCCTTCACATGACAGGAGACCAGAATACATTTAAAATATAGGTGCTAATCTGTGTGTTTACCTGGGGCTTGAATTCTACAGGAAGAATCTGTTAAAGGGCTTATTATGCTACACAAAACAACTGCAAAAGCAAATTATAGACCCTTATGAAATTCTTAGTCAGGATATTAGAAATATTTATAATTATCAAATTGTACCTTACCCATACTGGAAAAGAGTTTAAAGCTTTTTATAAACATATAATTCTGTCCTTAGTAGCATTTTGTTGCCATTGCTGTTAAAGACAGAGAATTTAGAGAAATAGAAAATGAGACCTGAATTGTAAAGCACACAAAGTTGGATTATAACTGGATGGTGAACTTGACCCAAGGCTTTCTGATGAGCACAGTCAAGTGGGAAAGCAGCAGGG